GGAGAGCTCGGAGCCGGGCACATCCAGCCACATGCCCCGTTTCCCTGCAGCCCATGGGATCCAGGCCAGCCCGTCCCCTGGGAGATTGTGGCCACAGGAGTTTGTGGCTGCGGAGCAGTTCCCGTGGGTGGTGGCACTGCAGGACAACCTCCTGGCCTTTGGCTCCATCCTGAACGAACACTGGATGCCCAGCACCGCAGCCAGGCTGCGGGTCAGGCCTGTACCCTGCGAGGGGCCTGCGTCGCCCCAGGCAAGGCTGGGGAAGCAGCAGGGAACACCACCATGTCCCACTGCTCAGGAGGGTCTTGTTGCTGCCCAGCAAGCTGGGCGAGCATCCCTCAGCCAGCGTCGGGGCAGGCAGAGTTTGCCCCAGGCTTTTCCTTGCACCCAGCCCCCTCCATCCACCCTTTGCAGGTGCTGGCCTTGGTCGGGCTGAGCATCATGAAGAGGCGATGGGAGGACCAGCCCCAGTATTCGATCAGCTCTGTCATCGCCCACAAGGACTTTAACGAGGTGACGCTCTACAACAACGTCACTCTGCTCAGGACAGCCGCCCCGCAGCGTTGTTCAGCCCATCTGCTTACCCCACAGGAGCCTCTCTGCCTTGGACCTCGTGAACTTCTGGGTCTCAGGCTGGATCCACCCCACCGCAGGTAAGCCCCACTGCTGCAGCAAAGAGCTCCCTCCAGCAGGGCAGAGAGCCGCCTTCCCGCTCCCTCCTGCCAACAGCCCCAGTGGGAGGAAGGGGACCAGGGCTTGTCCTGGGAGGAAGAAGCACCCACTGGTCACCCACCAGTGACCCACCAGTTTTTTGGAGGCCAGGGGCTGCCCCGAGGCATAGACCTCGTGAACTTCTGGGTCTCAGGCTGGATCCTCCCCACTGCAAGTAAGCCCCACTGCTGCAGCAAAGAGCTCCCTCCAGCAGGGCAGAGAGCCGCCTTCCCGCTCCCTCCTGCCAACAGCCCCAGTGGGAGGAAGGGGACCAGGGCTTGTCCTGGGAGGAAGAAGCACCCACTGGTCACCCACCAGTGACCCACCAGTTTTTTTGGAGGCCAGGGGCTGCCCAGAGCCATAGGCTCACCGTGGTCCCCCAGCCGAGCAGGGGAAAGTGCTGCAGCAGCTTCTTGAGGATGCTGTCTGTGGAGGGTGTGGATCCCTGCCCGCTGAAAAGGATCGCTGCAACCACACGCTGCAGCCCCAGGGATGCCGACGAAGTGACAGGCAGTTTGGAAAGGGACATGGAGCGCCAACCCAGCCCGGGCAGAAGTTTAGCCAAACCGCCTCCTCCCCATTCTGCTCATCTCCGACTCCCGGCTGGGAGAGCTGCCAAAACACTTGTTGGGCTTCTCTTGCTCAGTCCTTACAGGAAAAGATCCCTTCCACACAGCTTGCAGATAGCAAGCGTGAGAGACTGAACGTGTGACAGCCGTCTGTGCATGTGCTGCAGGGTGAGCATCTCCCTGCGGGCGCTGCTTCTGGTCCCCGGACCTCTCCCACTGCCAAGACCTCCAAGGGCCTTTGATGTGGCCGAGGTCAAAGACGCTTGGGAGGCAAAACTGAGAGGTGTTCCTTGTGGTACGTACCACAGGATCATGCGCAGGGCTGGGCTGATGGGGGCACGGGCAGCCGCAGGGAGTGATGCTGGTCACTTCTTCTGGGGCACGCAGGGACATCAGCCCAGAGGCAGCCAGCCCCCTGAGTCGGTGGTGCTTTGCTACCAGTGACGATAAATGACCGAACTGCTGTGATCTGCCCTCCTCTCATCCCGATGAAGCCCACAGGCCCTGAGAGCGACGGCAGGAGGGGCACTGTTGAGAAACAACCCTGCCTTTTTTTGTCTCTCAAAAGGGTGATACCGGCAGCCCTGTCATGTGCCAGATTGGAGGGACTGAGAAATGAGTCCTGAAAGGCATTCTCAGTGAGAGTGGCATGAGATGCCACTGTTCCTGTACACCCCGGTGTCCTACTGCAGTGACTGGATCTTGGCCACCACCGAGAGGACAGGACCTCCCGCATTCCCCACCCTAGTCAGGGTGCAAGCTGATCTGCAAGCTCCACCCGAAGACTGGGAAGAGGCTTCCAGACCAGCAGTGAGGATATTTTAGGAAGATGGTTTCAACCCCAAGAAAGGAAAGACAGAGATGAACTCATCTGAGGCCGGGCCATCTGAGATGATTTATAACTCCTGCAGTGGGAAAA